GGTTTAACTGACCTATCTTCACTTAGTGTTTAAAATAATTTTAGCATTTTTAATTAAAATATGAAAAATGCTTATAAAGGTAACATTTTTAAGAGCATTCTATGCTAATAGTTAGGGGGAGTTTATGATTCTTATAGAAAATTAATTTATGTTCAAATAACTTTTAAAGATAGATTTGATTGATTGAACATGGTTAATTTTTGTTCTATGAGTATCTAATTCCACTAGAGATAATTAATTTAGCATTCTAAGTGTTTAAATACATATTTTTGACATTTTTGTGCATAGAGTATTGATACCCCTAAGACTGGTATCGATACCCCCTTTGATTAGGTATTAATACCCTTTCAATAGGTATCGATACCCCTTCAATAGGTATCGATACCCCCCTTTGAATGTGTATCGATACCCCCTGTCGGGTTTAGGTATTAAACTCTATTTCTTCTTCATTCTCTCAAAACCCTTCTCAACAAAAATTCCACCGTTTGCTCCCAAACCTCTTCTACTTTCAAAATCAACAATTTCAAGTCAGAAATTTCAAGTCAGAAATTACTTGAATTTCAACTCTAAATCCTGTTTGCTTCATTAAATTGTGCAAAACATCACTACATTCCACACAATCCAAAATCTTCAAGGTATTGTTCAAAAACCTCTATTTTATTTGATTTTTGAACTTAGGACTAGTTTAGATTAGTTCTAGGTTGAAATAATTATCGGGAATTAATGAAATGTTATTTCTAAACTAGATTCTACAACTAATTTCATCAAAAACACAATATTTTTCAAAAAAATTCAAAATTTCGAAATATGAAAAGTTTTATTATTTTCGAAAATCATGACTTTAATTGATGTTTTTGATTCAATTATGTTGTTTTCATGAAAACTATACGTATTATGATTCTCAAACATTATTTTCAAAATAGTTTTCAAAACTTTGCCCATTAGGATTCGGTTTAGAGAACCTTGACTATTGAGGACTCATTTGAGTTTTGGGATTGATTATATTGCATACATGTTTTCAAATTTGCAGGTTACTTATCCAAATCCGATTTCATAAACCATGTCAAGTCCTAAACGACCTAGGTCTTCTTCGAGTCGTTCGAGTCAAAACCGACCTCCAAATCCAAATCCTCCAATTCATCCTCAAATTCCTGATTCCATTATGACTATAGGTATTCTTTCTTTAATGAACCTGGTCATAGACAAGATCTCTACTATAGGTATTCTCATTACTTTGAGTCATATAAAATTTGCGAAAAACGCATTTCGTCCCTTCAAGCTATGATAGATATGAACTTTAAATATCTACCTACCCTACTAGATTGGAAATTTGATAAAATCCATCAACTCGAACCGGTTGTTTACCAACAACTCGTTCGAATTTTCTATTCCAATGCCGTTTGCATTCAAAACCGAGAACAAACTGAAACTATAGGAATCTGATCCTATCTTCTTGGTCAATTCATCCATATTGATTCTCAATATATAGAAAATGCTTTTGGCTTAGACGATAATGGATTATATAATGAAAAAAAATCGTAGGTTCCCGTTACAAGGTTAGATCGAGTGCGAGTGTCTTAGATCATCACGATCGATTTCTTCGTCTTATGATCTCTTGGTGGTTTAGACCATCCAGAGGAAAATACTCCACTCTTAGAGCCTTAGATTTATGGTGGATACATTGTATTCAGAATAATAAGAAAATTAACCTACATCAGATTATATTTTCTGCTATCGTTGACACCGTGAATCTCGTTCCTAATAAGAAAATTTGTCCAAGTCTAATTTACGGCTGTCTACTGAGTAACTTGTTTAAAAAAGCCGAGCTTAGGGTACAGCTTGATGTAGCCATCCCTCTCAAAAAATCAAATTAATCTTATTTTCTTAACGAGATCGGGATGGACAAAGGATAAGGAAAATGGTGAATGGGTTCGATCCTCTGAGCAAACTCCGGGAGCTAGTTCTCCACGAGCTCCACCGGCAGCTGAAGGCGATCCTGATCTTGAACAGCTTATGCAAGACATTGATGACGTCCCCGAGGATGAGCTGGAGCAGCACGAGGAACAAGCACATCAAGAGAGTCCTATTCCTCCATATTTTCAATCCTTTATGGAGACATTCGATTTCTGGTATGCATCCATTGATTCACGCTTTACTTCCATAGGGTCCCAATTATCCACAATGGGAGCTCAACAATTGGAAATTCTCTGGGAGATGCGCGTGAACAACGTAACTATGAATGAACGTATTAATGCGCTCACACATGAGATGGCAACTATGCGAGCTCATTTTCCTCCTCCCGATCCTCCAACGGATGCTTGAACCTTGCTTTGCTTTAGTTTTCTTGGATTGAACTTAGAACTTATTTTTTTTTAACATTTTGATGCTTATGAATGTTTGAATTTGTTGATGTTTAAATTTGCTTTGAATATTTGTGATTTGAATTTGTTATGGATATTTTGAATGTTTGGGTTGGTAATTGTTGGTTTGAATGTTTTTATTTGAATATTGAACTTAAATGTCTCTTTATTTTGCATCATTTTAGTACTAATGACCAATTTAACCATTTCACTATATTTATGAATATTGAATTATGGAACAAATGGCTAATCCTTCTCTCGATTTTTATCTTAGCAGCTTACCCTTTATATAAATATCAATTGGCTTATGTTTCAAAAACCTTGTTTAAAACCGTTTTTCGAGTCTTTTTAATTTAACAAAAAGGGGGATAAGTGTTAGAGTAAGGGGGAGTAAAATTTTCAAACTTGATTTCAAATTGAGAGTAATTTATTTTCAAATTACTCCAATGATTTTCAATTAGAAAAACTTAAAATTACTAAAGTTTTTTGTTATATAAAAAAGGGGAGATTGTTGAAAACATTTTGATGTTTCGTTATAACAAAACAAGTGTTAATAAATTTTAAGTTTTCTATTGATTCTTATATTATGTATTTGATTAATTCGAATATCATAAATTATTACTCCAAGTTTTTAAATGTCTATTTCAATCCTTACTCAAGTGTAAAATTAAGTTTAAATCTTAAAATATTTTTGAAACAATTTTTACAAAGTATTTTGATCCATATTCGAGCCAAAGATAAACTTTATTTAGTATAGTATCGATACCCCCTATAGGGTACCGATACCCCTATGAACATTTTGGTTCTGAGAAATAACAGAATGCTCGAATGGTACCGATACCCCCCATAGGTATCGATACCCCCATGCAATGGTACCGAGACCCCCTCAGGAGGTACCGATACCCTCAGGCATATAACGGTCGAAATATTTGAATTTTACACTGCAGGTACCGATATCCTATGAAGGGATACCGATACCCCCCCGCTCCCAGCAGACAAATTTAAGTGGTTTTTCACACTACAACGACTTTAACTTCATCCAAATGGTTCCCAACGGTTAGAATCATCCCAATGTGTATTTAAACAAGTTCTGAAGCCATTGATCAATAAGAAATCACTGAGAGACAAGAGAGAAAGCATCAAACACTAAGTTTGTGAAAATCAAGCCAATTTTCCTTCAATATTCATTTTGCTTTCAAGAACACACATTGCGCTCATTTGTAATCATCTTTGAGTGTTCTTTTCTTGTTCTAGAATTGTGCAAACATCTTACCTTGTGAGGGTTTTCATTAAGTTTGCGAATTTGTAATATTCTCTTTGAAAAAGAGTGTTATCAAGAATTGAGGTATATTCTTGAGGGAGTTGTAAGGTTATTTTTTTGGCCTTAAAGAAAGAACAAATTAGTGAATTTGTTGGAAAATCCTTAGTGTGGATAGCTAAGGTTGTGGACGTAGACTTTGGTTGAGAAAGTCGAACCACTGTAAAATCGTTGTACAATTACTTTCAATTTTCTACAAAAGCTTCCACCAAATTTTTAATTGCCAATTCACCCCCCTCTTGGCCGATTCCGCCGATCTATTAACTCAACAGAATCGAGTTTAAACAAAAAATATTGTGCTCATTTTTGTTTGTTGTTTATTTTTAAAGGTGTTTATATTTGGCTTATGTTCGATTAAAATTTTAATATCATGTTCGCATTTGTATTCATTAATTTATTTTTTGACGTGTTCGTGTTCGTTCGTTTAGCGTTCGTAAATACACCCGTTTACCTTCACGAACATGTTTGTTTAGCATTGACGAATATATTCATATAACATTCGTTTATATGTTAGTTTATATTTTCCAAACATGTTCATTTAACATTTATGAACATGCTCATTTACTAGTTAAAAATGGTAAAAATATATCCCACTAATGCTTAAACACCTTACGCTTCATAATATAACCTTTAAATTTTACTGTATTCAATTTAGTCTCTAAGTTGATCAATATTTAAAATTTAATAAAAAATAGAAACGTAAATGAGCTACTAGACGAGTTTATGAACGAGCCATTAAATAAATTTATTCATGAACATAACCGAATGAGTCGATAAATGAACATATAAACAAGTTCATTTATGAAAAAAAACGAACTGAGCATACCTTAATTTGTGTTTGTTCATATCGGTTTATTTATTAAATAAATATAAAAATTTTGTTCATACTCATTTATTTAACTTAACAAGCAGACAAACTAAAATTACACGAACAGTTCACAAATAATTCACCGAACACTCCCTCTTTTGTTATCCAAATTGCCAATGAACGTTAAACAAGTATATGCGTTAAATACGAGTGTCAAATAAGAATATTTTAGAGAGAGAGAACGAACATCCATGCTGAAAACATATTCGTACCCAACACTTAGTACCCTAATCCGAGCAACAAACATTACATGAACTCGTAAATATATTTGGCAGAAACTTCACAGAGAACTACTTTGAACATATATGCGATATTATTCACTCTGAATTATTTCCTTAAGAGAATGATGGAATCATTAAGCAATAATAACACAATTTACGTACATTTTAGGTAAAAACATTTATTCATTTCAAAGTCGAGAATCTGTATTGATGTTCAAGTAATAAACTTATGAAGAAACTAATAAAGCTGCCCTAAGCACTCCTTTCCAAATGGTACAGAAGCAAAATTGTTGCAGACTAGTGCAGTGGCTTTCACCAATACTGCTGCTTATGCCTTAAAAAAGGTCGTTATACAGATACTCAAGTTAATACCTCACGAATTGCCGCTTGTCGTCTTCGCTTCCTTGCCTTCCGTACGGGTTGCTTTCGCTAAAACTGTTTCGTGTTCCTTCAATTTTGCGTGATTTCTTTCTAAATTTGGATGCATTGCTGTCTATATTCAGATTAACCTTCGGAGGGCATGAAAAGCAGAAGGAAGCAGCGACAGCCTGCTCGAAAACAAAAATTTTGTTTCTTGTTAGTCGGCTTAACACGGTTATTTCTGTGTCGGGACATTGTATCACCCGTTAATGATCCACTTAAGATTCTAAAACATTGTACAAACACTTATGCAGAATGGAGACCTACATTTTAGTATGCCAGAAGAAAGATCATATTCGTACCTGCAGATCAAGGCGATGCACGTTAAAGATATCTTTCATCGAGTGTGAATTGTACGCTAAAATGTAAGATCGATATGCATCTTTAGCTGACTTGTTTAGGTAATAGTTGTTTGCCACCAACTTCTCCTGCATTATTGCAAGCAGACAATATAACCTCCTCGGAAAATTGTCATTTCAAGAAACTGTAGCGAGTAAAAATCGAAACATTACCAGATGAGACTGCACATTTGCCAGCTTCTTCTCATCAAACTCGTATTCCTTAACCGGAACTTTTGCTACCTGTCATTAGAAATAGAGAACCAAAATAAACAAATTAGAATCGGTTTTTTGATTCACTGACAGCCAATTTCAGGCCGCCATGTTTCATACTCCGATGCTTTGCAAAAGCATTTAAATCTTTACGACACTGAATATTTGATTGCTCAAAGTTTCTTAATGCCCTTAATCCCCATCCCATGCCCCACTTTGTCTGTACAAGAAAAACAAGAACTCGTTCCGCAGAGATAACGCACCTTTAGATATCGAAGAAATTGCAGTTCCTCTGGGATCAAGAACAGAAGAGCGTTTCCTTTTGCACCTTCCCCACGGGCAGTTCGACCAACCCTATGAATATATTCCTAAAAGCAACATTCCGAATACTCAACATGGCTGGAAGATAGCAAAAAAAGAATAGCAATATATATTGATATAAAGAGCACAGACCTTTGGTTCATCCGGAGGATCGTACTGCAGAATCCAATCCTACACAGTGGAAAACAAAAATCCAGTTATAATGATTCTTCCTCAAGTTTAAACCGAGTTACTTAAGATACACCAAAACAAACTGTGTATACATTTTTATAAAGGAGAAACAACTTAATAATAGACATTCAAGTAACAAATCGAAAATGATACATAATTAGAACCACAGGTAACATACCACAGCGGGAATGTCAAGTCCACGAGCAGCGACGTCAGTGCAAAGCAAAATTCCCTTTTCTGCTTTGCAGAAGTCAAAGAAGGTAGTGGTCCGCTTTTGCTGCTTCTGCTTTCCATGGATATCAAGACAATCCACATGAATATATCTAAGAAGTTCCGCATGAAACTTGACTGAGTTACATGAAGAGAAAAAGACCATCACTTTCTTGGACAGGTTCCTCTTCAAAAACGAGTACAAAAGGACAAATCTCTTGGAACTATGCACAACACAATAGCCTTGCTGCAGCCCTTCATTAGTGACCTACAGTAATGATAGCATCAAGTTAAGTCAAAAGGATAAGGATTGTAAACTTGACGATATAAAGATCAACTTCGATTATGTTCATACCTTCTTTCTCCCATCATCTACATCAATATAAATAGGAGTCGTCTGAAATGACAAACGGGCAAGGTCCTCAACCTGCATATTTAAGTAAACCCACAATAAATGTCACATGGTTAAATAAGAACTTTGCTCCAAAAAAGGAAGGTAAAAACCTTTGACTAAACTTGGAAATCAGGTTTTCTGAAAAATGCTGAATGCTAGCCTATGTGGGATTACAAATAAAACTTGAGGGGGAAATGATACAAAAACATTAGAGTAAGGGCAAACCTTCTTAGTCTGGGTAGCTGAAAATAGAGATGTTTGCCTGTTTTGCTGCACATCAAATAGGAAGCTAGTAAGCTATAAACAGCTTCCAAGTTACAATTCAAGACTAGGGTATTAAAAAAGCCGATTTTATTAAAGCAAAAAACGTGCTAACATTTCATAACATTTTTTCCTCTGGGCTGCAAATAAGCCAAAATTGCAAATGCAGCTCAGCTTGCTAGTACTCACAAAAAGCAAATCAGTTAATCGCAGATATATTTTTCCTCATGTACAACATATATCCTATTTTTCAACTTAAAGCTTACTTCTACACCCCTTTCATTTAAATTATTAAGAACATTGACACTAATTCTTTTGGCTACCCTAAATTTTCAAGAAAAGCCCTAGGAACAAATTATGAGACAAGTAACTTAATAATCAACCATTAAATGATCAGGCAGTTATGCCTTCTTTAGAAGCTTGATGTGTTGCTTCATCATTGTGCATAATAATTATTAGAAATAACACCATTTCATCCGGATAAAGATTCATCACACATTGACATACCTAGTCAACGCAAAACAACTGAAACGTGTTCAACAAGTCAGTTAACCAATGGAACCTAGCTCTTTAGAAAATTAAGCTCTTTAATCCTAGTCATGTACTACTAGTTCACTAAATATATTCCAACAGTCAATCGAACGGGATTTGATTTTCAGAAGTTCTAGATATGAAGTAAATGACATAATCCAAAATCATATTCCTAACATAACAATGTAAATAGCTAAATGATTCACCTTAGGAAGTGTTTAATAATCTGCTTCATTTCTTCCTCAAAATTTGCTTCCAATATCCTGTCAGCTTCATCAATTATGAGACACTGCAAATTTCACAGAACTTTTAGAAAATTGAATTTTCTTATAAAAAGAAAAAGAAAATTGAATTCGGAAGACATTTTAACCATGTCTGAAAAATTATAACGACCATTTAAATTTTCATGGATCGAAAGGCTCTCAATTTATCTGCACGAAACGGCTATATTGGTTTTTACGACTCAAAGTGCTTTCAATTTCATTATATCACATTCATTACTGCATACAAATTTTACTAGTATAATCAAATCATGATATCAAAACTTCTTATACAGCAACCCCAGCCGTTTCACCTATAAGTTGCATCTATTCAAAGTAGTAATATTTCAGAGACAACATAATCTAAGTGATAAAAGTGACTCCCTCAAAATACCAAGTAGCCAGTGACTCTGGTTTATAGTAATACAGTCTTAAAATAGGTCAAAAGCATCAATCACACAGGAACTCAAAATCAAGGGAATGACTTTATGCAAATACATTATACATCTAAACCAAATGACTGTAAAAACCACATTATTAACCAAACAAAAAAAATATTATGGAAGAGGTTTACAAATATTAATGTTACCTTCAAATTTTTATAAATGAATCCCTTTGTATTCTGAAGATGGTCAAGTAGCCGACCAGGAGTAGCCACTAACAAATTTACCCCCTTCACAATCCGCTCTGCTTCTCCTCTTCTGGCTGAACCACCAATAACCAATCCAAGAGTCTGAGAGTGGTATTTGAGAAGATCCTTAGCTACAGCATGAGTCTGAAATGTTCGAAGATTTTATTGCTTAGTAATAAATGAAATTATGAAATATTAAAGGTATGACATACAGCCAAACCAAAGTAAAAAACCGTCATATTTCAATATGTTACTGACCGAAAGTCGGAAAGTTCATTAAAATTAGAGGAAATGAAATTTTAACCTTAGGAAGCAGATGGTAGTGGCAACAACAAAACAAGCTTTTCAGATACAAAAAAAAGGACCAAAGAATTTAAATCTTTACCTGAATGGCAAGCTCCCTAGTGGGACAAATGACGATAACACCAGTTCCATTGCGAGGAGTAAATCGAACATTATATAACAACTCAACGGCAGGAACCAAGAAGGCAAGGGTTTTCCCAGAACCTGTCCTTGCAGCCCCAAGAACATCTTTTCCAATCATAAGTGGTGGAATTGAGCGGGCTTGAATCTGCATTCAGTTTGACAGGTCAGCTTAATGTATAGCTCAAAAACTATAAAAAAAATTTACAATGAAAGTAAATTTTTCCCATGCACAAAACAAGCTGTAGGCTTTTACTTTGAGGGTAAAACAGATATAAAAAAGTTCTAGCATTGCACTGAATAACAGAACAATGATGCCTTTTTCCTTTTTCAACTCGATCCGAGTAGAGCTCGAATATTGTTGAGCTCAGCTCAACCCAATAAGTGTAAAACTGTACTCAATTCAACTAAAAAAATTCACGAGCTTAAAACTATCAAGCTCAACTCGAACTTGAAATATAAACTGAAGCTTAACAAGAACTCAAAAAAAACTTAAACTTGAAATATTCTCGTACATAGCTCGATTGAAACTCAAACTTGTACTTGAGCAGTTGAACTAAACCTTAAGTACATGAAAGTCTTTTATTGTATTTAAAAAAATATTAATATTAATATTATTAATAATTTAATTTAAAATTTTAATATATTATTCTTTCGAATTGCTCATGAGCGGATTCGATCTAGAATACATTCAATTTGAGAGTTGACTGACTCAATCTCGATTAGCTCAGGAAGGTCTACTCTCATTTACAGCCCTACTCATAGCCATAGGCATTAGACCCGTAGTTAAATCAACACAGAACAATGCTTCCAGAAAAATTTCCATTATATTTCAAGGCTTGATATGCAACTCTACGTATTGAACTCTGAATTAAACTTAGTCAACTAAAAAACAGAGATATAAAAACGATGGAATTCGATACAAAAATTAAACAAATAATTCAACAAACCAAAAGGGATACCTGAGTCATGTACTGAAAACCCATTTCTTTTATAGCTTTAAAGGTAGGCTCAGACAATCCCAAAGACTCAAATGACTCAGTGCTCATTATCCCACTACCTCCAATCTTCACTTTCTCCTTTATCTCTTCCTCCTCCACTTCTTCTGTTTCATATTCTTTGTTTCCTCCTCCCTCTTGTTTTTCATCATCATCTTCACTCCTCAACTTCTTTTTTTTCTTCTTTTTATTACCGTTTTTCTCTTTGATTTCAACTTCTATTGCTTCAGTTTCTTCAAATTCTTCTTCTTCTCTGTCATTGTTGGTGTCAGGGTTTTGTTGCTCTGTTTTCTTAGCTCTGTTTCGCTTCCGCTTCCTTTTCTTCATACTCTCTTCTAAAGAGGGGTATTTTGAGTTTTTCTCTTCCGACACCGCCATTGTTGACGTACAGAGGATAGAACTAGCCGAAATAATGTTAGGTTCCAGCTTCAAGAATCTAGGGTTTCCTCTGCCTTCTGTGAATGTTATATAATACCCCCTCAAATCTTAACAAACTAAAGGGAAACTAGTTATTTAGTCGCCCATATATTACTTTAGCTCTTTTTTATCACCTAACTATGAAACTTTTCGTTTTAGTAACCATCATCGGTACTTGATTTAATCCTTAGAACTTACACATGCTATCGATTCGATCATAATTTAAAGTGATTTAATAAATTTAACCATTCACATTTATAAACTCTATATATTTAATCCTTAGACATATGAAAACGAAACAAATATTTAATCACAAAAACTAATAAATTGAGTATTGTATGGTCCATTGTTGTATCATCCACTTCCATTCCATTACCAAAACGATTAATAACCACTTTAAAAGTAATAATTAACAAATAACTTGAGGTACAATAAGGTGCAATTCTACATCCTTAACCAACAGAAATCCGGGAGCCACATTTATGCAGCCAGTCTCTAATTGCATATTTGCTTTTAATATGAAGCAATGGACGTAGAGAATTTACATACAAGAAGGTTCAATAATACTGGGTGGACTGAGAAGAGTGTTGGGATAATCGTACTTATGGGAACTTTTATATAATTTAAGTATTCTTTTCTTATTTTTTTATTGGTGATTTAATATCGTATCTATAATTTTTTTTAATTCTACATCTTTAAAATTTTAATATAACTTTTTAAAACTTCATACTCACGACATAAAATCTTGTATGATTACAATAGTTTAAGAGTTGTGTACATTACGATAGTTTAAAAAAAAGTAAATATATTCGAATCAAATACATATTCATATACAATAGTCGTTTCGAACACGTAAATTCGGATGCGGTGACTCCAACTAGAGCTAGGGCCTTGTTACATCAGCAAGATTTGTCAACTAAAATACTATTTATAAGGTTGACAAACAATTACATAGAAAGGTTTGGGCACACATGGAAATGAACAATCTCTCACTAACTAAACAATTATGGACAAAATAAAAGGTACAATTATCCACAAACGCCATTACACCACCCAATGGCTTTTCCTTTCTATTTTCTGTACACAATATATGAGATCACAACTTATAAGAGTCGAGGATTCTTGCCTACGCTAAAATGGTCCTAAAGGATTAGCTCTCTACACTTGGGTCAGGATCTGGTTGCTTTGGGGCAACAGCACCACCGTTCATTCTCGCACGTGCCTCCGCAAACATTCTCTGCTGCTCAGCTACTGCTTCTTCCTCGGTCATCTCCGCTACGTTGCTCCATTTCCCACCTTTCAAAGAGTCTTGCTGAAATGCATTTCAAGAATACCATCAGTGAGAAATTTTGGGATGAGCAGAAAAAAGTACAAGAGATGGCCAACTTCTGGATGGAAGTCTCGATTTTAAGAAATTATTATTCCGCTTCCGAAAGGTTTACACTGCAGAATGCTAAACCCTAATGAGCAAGGAAAAAAATATTTACCATTGTCTCAATCTTGTGTTGCTCATATGCAGCATATACCTCTTCAATGTACTCTCCGAACCCAAGGGCCTGGCAAATCACGTACGGACATTAATTTTTAGTAACAAGTAAATTACATGCAAATCTTTTATGCATAACTTGAACTAAAACATGGTATGATCAAGACTACATGCAAGTACAGTGCATAATAGTAACCAGATCAGTGCTATTAGCAAACAGAACTTCCGGTATGAACCAACTCAATCATCAAGGAAAGTCGCAAAACTTCTGCTTAAAACTACGCCTATACAGAGGAAAATGAAATATGTGGAACATATTTAAAGAGAAGAGAGTGCTAGTAAAACCAAAGCTTGATATGAAAACAACAATTTCCTTCTTAAAATACTCTTTGATAGCTGAATTAGATACAGAGGCGGATGCAGCTTATATTTAGGGTGGGCACTGAAATCTGAATTTTCTTATGTTAGATATCTATTTTACTCATTGTTCCCATCTTGAGATTTTATTTTGCCCCCCCCCCTCCAAAAAAAAAACACACACACACACACAAATCTAGTTAATATATGTGCCACCCTCAAAAATATTTCTGGATCCACCATTGATTAGATAAAAAAGAAGATAATATATGCAGGTTGTGCTTGACTTCTTATTAAAAAAAGTTCTAAAATGCCATCTATATTTGACTGAGGATTGGAGGCAGACTAAATGCCTACAAAATAAAGACACTCACGAACCGTAACAGCATATTTCAAGGCATTACTTTTCAACCCTAACAAAGCAATGTGCACAAATAACACACATAAAGAACTAAATTGAAACATGGGTGTAGGTTTAGGAGAGAGTAACCGCTAAAGCCTTGAGTACATGCTCAGGTGCTATTGTTCGTTTATCCTCTCTGTTACAAACTTCATTGGACTCTGATGAAATAAGATTAATGAACTCTGCAAGAGGATTGAAGTTTACGTTAGTTACAAAAAGAAAAAAATTAATACTATCATTACATTATAGTTAGAGACAGTAAAATTCTAACGATGTAAGAGAAGTGAACATAGATGGCCAATTTACTCGCCATACAACATTCTAACAAGCAAAAGTTTTCCCCCAATATCTTCAATGACAACATATAGTGGTATTATAACCACATAAGATTACCCATTTTATGAAAATCTGGAATCAGGTTTAAAGCCACATTAACAATATGAAATAGCAGATACCATATTCCTCTTCCACACTTCTTTGTAAAAGCAAATGTTACAAAATGAAATTAACCAAAACAAATTCATACTAAGAAGGTAGATTTTTGGTTTAAAAGTCACATGTTTGGGGCAAGAGAAACAACAATAATATGCTAGTCTACACAAAAAGAATAATGGTTAACTGATCACTGACAAAAAAGTTGACACTTGGCTTTAGAGAAAAACATTTGAAAGGAATTCGATGTGTCACTATTAAAAAGAATATATGGAGGCCACAGAGACCTTAAATTGATACTGATTAAAAAGAAAAGAAAAATTAAACTTATCTTACCAACACAACACTCGATTAAAAGATCTTGAGTATCTCTAGCAACACGTACATCTGGAGGTAACATTTCCTTTATAATTTTGGTCATAGTTGCTGCAAAAAGGACATATTTACATATAATTTACATTTCACATCATAAACCAAATAAACAATCTCAAACAAAACCACAGGGCCTAGGCAAAGCCATGGGTGGACAAGTTATTGGGTTAGTATAATTTGCATGCACACAAAGGAAAGTAAACTGAATCTTGTTTTATAACATTGAAAAACAAAAGGAAGACAGAATCTTAAATCCCTAAACCAAAAGTGAACCTGTAAACTGTTCAGAACATGACAGCCTTGTTATTAGCTCAGAAACTTCACTTCAATATGTGACACAAGTTCATCATAAAAATCTACCATTCTCAGTTTAATAGATGCTCACTGTTTTTCAATTAACGATGTCCTGAGTAACATTGAAATCAACTCCTTTATAAACAAACTACATCATCGATCCTCAAAGATATCACATCCCCCAACCAGTATAAGGCTCCCCTACACAGAAGCTCTAGACAAGAACCTCTTTTGGTGATTGTAAATAGAACAATCAACCAACATTTTTTTAAAGAATTACTGGAAAACCAGTTGACACCTTTGACAGACAAAACGTTCATATAACATCGGCTTCACCTCCCCCATTAATCTAAAAGTCCTCACAATAGAAAACTAGCATAAAACAAAACTAGGTTTGAGCACAAAACCATCCTTCACATGATTAAAGATGCACATTTCTTCAATTAATCAAATCATACTCGCCTAGCATTGTGAAATTGAAACTCTCTCCTTCTGGTAGCTGAATTTGGATAAAAACCTAATTAACTTTTAAAGGTAACTCATTCACAGCATGTGTTAGCATAGATAACCCAAAACCTGAATTGAGCAACGAAGCTGCTATGATTTACCATTCTAAGCTGATGTTGATGGGAGCTATAAGAAAAACCTAGCAAATCCAAGACTTCAAATTCATAAATTTAGCACATAACAAGATAATCGAAAGAAAGAAAAAGGAGGAAATTTTTAGGGGAATTCAGAAGAAATATCATGATAATTCACCGAATAATTAAACATAAATAAAACGGAAATGAGTACGGAAAAAGAGTGGAACTAAGAAAAACATTTACCTTTGGGAAGCGAAGCGTCCTCTTTCGACTTCCCTACGATATCCATCGGCTCCATCTTTTAGTTCTTCAAAATAAAGTGAAAAATCAAAAAAGAAAATCCAACAGAGAATCAGCGGATCTAAAACGTGAAAGGGAAGAAGCTCGAGGGGGCAACGGACTCACCGAGTTACTGAGTAAGTACGCTGGGGATTACTTCCACAGATGGAAATAAACGCCAAAACGAGTGAAGCGATTCGTTATCCGAGTCCAGTGGGGGATGAGCACGAAGGAAGGCATCGTTGATTTATGGAGTTGCGCTTCACGATAACAGAGGTAGCTCTCGATCGCAGCCGATTACGGGGAAAAACAAAAGAAACAAACAAACATTGAAGGGAGGCGCGAGGGAATCTCACGCGCTTTTCTTAAAGAGAATTTGGAATATTCGTGGGACTAGTGGATCTGATGGTTGGCACGTGTTTGAAATTCCGTTGTTAGGTGCGTGGATGGATGATTGTGTGTTTGACGAAATGCCAATGGAAGAGTCTCACCTTTCCATTCTTATTCTTTACTTGTACCTTTTTAATTTGGAAGGGATAATGTTACAATAAAATAAAATTTAATCAAAACTTTAATTTTTATTTTTTTATCATTTTAGTTTCTCGTATTTTATTTTTTTTAAAATATTTTATAAAAAATTATTAATTAATAAATGATTAACGCTTTAAAGTAAATATTTTTTAGCTCTAAAATAAAATGTTAAAGGTTAAAATATTCTAAAAATTAAAAAAATTAAAATTATTATTTAATCTATCGTAAGGAGTCTTTTTTCTCTTACATTAAAATATTAGAAACTAAAATACTGTAAAAAATAAATATTAAAAAAACTATTTTAATAAATATTGAAATAATATTCGCATTATACCTTTTAGGAACAACGAAATAGGCTAATTTTCGGTATGCAGAGAAGTGCGTGGATAACCATTCTTTGATTCTTGTTCATGTCAAAGGTGGTACCCAAATGTTTTTCAAGTAGGGTAAATATACATTTGAGTACTTGAACTTGATCTCAAAGTTCAATTTGATACTTTACTTTTATGTTAGTCCAATTAAGCACCTAAACTTGGCTAGATTCGATCTTGTGCATAAAATTTAAATGGTGCAATTAGGTACCTGAAACTGGCTTTTATATACAAATTGATACCTAAACTTGACTTCATAGTTCATATAAATCATTTACTATAAGTATCAATTTGAAATAAAAATGAACTTCATATATCAATTTAAACCAAGTTTAGAGACCTAATTAGAACAAAAAAAACCTTTAAACACCAAATTAAATAAAAAGTTTAAATAATAAATTACATTTTAAAACCAAACTCAATTATCAAAATATATACTTATCATTAAAGAATTGTCAATGTGGAATTTACATTTTTTTTATTTTTTTTATTTATTATCACATGAATATAGAAAAAAAGGCATGTAATAAAGCATACCTAAGTTATTGTTTGTTATGGAGTGTATAACATCTTGTGTCATCGATTTGAATTATATATTGTTCATATGTTTATTATTAAGTTAAAGGTTTAATATAAAAATATTTGTTCAAACTATACTATTTTTTCTAAATATGTGTTCAAAATATTTTGGATCAATTCAGGTGTTTTACGTTAAAACATTACTATTTTAGGTACCTCTCTCGTTATGGTCGTTAAAAAAGACCGTTAAGTAACACGTGTCTGTTGGGATTTTAGGCTCCATGAACAATTGAAAATGTTGTCAAGAGGGAGTGAATTGACCTTTTGAGATTTGGGGAATTAAGGAGAAATGAAAGGAAAAATTGACACAATGATTTATAATGGTTCGACTTTTAAACTAAGTCTACATCCATTACCTTAGCTCCAAACTAAGGATTTTCTAGCAAGTTCACTAATTTGTTCTTCCTTTCTCTAGGCTCAAGAGTAATCTTTACAAATTCCCTAGTTTTCAAACTAGAACCACTCCCCTTGTACAAAAAGTTAAAGAAGTGTAAATAAGGAAACTTCTAAAGATAGATGTTTACAAGTGAAGCTCTCAAAAAGACACTATGTACAAGAGCAAAAAAGGAATAAAGAGTGAAAAAGCTTTTCTCGTGGTCTTGATTGCTTAGATAGGTGTTGTAACCTTCATTAAGTGTCATTAACTTATTTTTTATATATTAGAATGAGTTTGTAACAGTTTCTAGTAATTGAGGATGTTTTAAAGCTGTTAGAGATTAATTTTCTGCAAAACAAAACAACCCATAACAAAGAGTTTTGATACTTGAGCTAGGAGTATCGGTACTTCCTTTGTAATATTTAAATAAACTAACCTTAAAAACCTTTGGACTTGATCAATATTAGTACTAGAGTTTCATGGTATCGATATTATTGTGTAAAGTAGTAGCAGTGCTCTTTGAGTGGTAACAATGCTCCTTGAGTATCGTTAGCATCATTTTCCACGATTCTGATATTGTGATCATCTACCTTATTTTGAGTTGATAAATCAATAGTTGAGAGAATCTGCCAACTAAAAGAGGAATATGATATAGGAGACCCAGTCTTGGCTTGCTTCGTATAAGCTACAAATAGGGGAATAATCGATTGATTTCAAAATGAACTTAGATTGGATAATAGCATTAGAATGAACATGTCTTCTCTTGCTTACTCTTTTACTTGGCTCTCAAGTATCAATCAACATAAAGTAAGGTAGGATGAAACAATTAACACTTATAAGAGGAGTTATATCTATTGAGTAACAATACTTCTCTGGTCTAGTCTAATCCAATCCACATCAAATGGTTTTGGTGATAGGTTGTATTCTAGGGTGTGTATCAACTCAAGGGAAAGTCTTATCTTGTTGAAATTTAAAAACTTTGAAAAATAATAGGTAGTATTGGTACTACCATCGAAGTATCGATATTTATCTTATCTTTGACATCAATACTACAAGAATAATATATTGGTATTGTTCATGCGGTATCTATACTGTAACCAGAAAGCAATTTTGTGTTCAAACTCAAGTTTTATGGACTTTGAATTATTTTTAAATTTTTTTAACAAATTCAATGAAGTCTAAAAATATTTTCCCCTTAAATTGTTATATCAAAATAGGTTTAATAATGTAAAATTTATATAATTTTAAAAATTTTATTTAATATAAAAATAAAAATATCATTAAAACATTAAAAAAAATCCCCCTTTCATCCATCCCCCTTCCCTTCCCTCTCCTTATCCCCCTCCCAATTAACGATAGTGCTGGAAATCCATTACCTGAGAAGACAGAAAGGGGTCTTTAGTTTCATACAAAACAAATTTAAAAAAAAACTCATGAAAAATAATGAATTGGTAGTCTATGAAAATCAGAATTTATGCATAATTATTCTTGCTTGTTCCCTTCCAGTAGTTGCTCTTCGACTTTTTCTTCAACTAGGTCGGACTCGTAAAGTGATCCAATAGCTGCAAAAAAAAAAAACACATAGTTGCTTTGAAATAAAAATGCAGAATTACCATAAAAGTGGAACCAGATGATCCAGATCGAATCGATTTAGCAACACAAACCCCACTGAATGACTAAATGGGTTTACGTTTCTTTCGTTAGAGACGTTATGTTTATAGGTTCTAGGTCATCGGATTTGGCTTATCATTGGGTGAGGTTCTGGTGTAGGTCTGATCAATGACAACGGTGTTAAACGACCAGCGTGGACCTAGGGATTAAAATAATTTTTTAAAAAACATTTGAGATTTTTTTAAGTTTTTCAATTTTTTAGGATTTTTTTATAAAAAATATGTAACACCCTAAACCTGATTGGGTCTAAAGTGCCACACTGGGTTACTTAGGCAACCCTTAATTTTAAAAACATGCTCTTTTTCTTTTTAAACATACTGAATGTATCATGATAAGTCATAAATAACTTATATAAAAACATTTTACAAAATCGAAACTCCGTGACACACACTTTAAAACCAAAATAACACAACATTAAGTTTAATAGACTAAATACATGAGTAAGATCCTATGAATACATATTTCCACTAAAGCTACAGTACAATACTCTGTCGGAGATGTTGGAGGTCTTGTTGTGACGGTGCTCCACGAATGGCCCAAGCTACTGACCAGCCAACGGAAAACATCTGAAGGTTGAGCTTACAAAACCCAACAATATAATCAATAATCTAGAGCAGCATAAGAATTCATAAACACAAGCATGCTGAAGACATGACACTAAGCAGTAGGTAAATGCATGATCTAGATCAAGTGCTACCTACTTATGGCTTTACTGTTCTATCACTGAAGTAGGAGTCCCACGTTTCCCTTAGTCCTCTACTAAGTGTCTCTCCATGAGTACGCCTCTAAAGGGTCTCTAACCTTAATGCATGTAACTGCTATGCATTATCTAATTATGACACTGATATTCCTGTGCATTATTTGAATTCAGACCTGAAAATACTATGCATTATCTAAATATCTTGTCTCACATAGCCATTAGAAACTAGTTACTGAGGGAACCCAATGTCACATAGCATCAGTGCAATTCCCACTAAATTAGCTGACCCTATTCCCATATGTAATGGGGTAAGGGGGAGGTAGGATAGTAGGCTGCCCCCAACACCAGGTTGAGAGCAATTCCCACTAAACATATTAAATGATCTCATGGTCCTCACATAGCCATCAGGTAGATCATTGAAAGGGAACCCGATGTCACATAACATCAGTACAATTCTCGCCTATCTGAAGCATTGACTCAGTCTCACATATCCTCCAAGCCAAGCTTTAACATATCTAATATACTGATTGATGCAAAGATGCAAACATATCTAAGGCCCAAAGGCCACACAACACTGACATCACTAACCCATTCTTCGCAAGTGTTCAGGCCTCGTACCCTAGTTAGCTCTTGAAGTACCTCGCGCACTGACAATGTCCCACTAGGGAAACTAAGGTAACATGGTTATACACTAGCATAGTTGGACTCACTAAAGTGAGGTTATCCTCTCACTAATTGCTATCTTGCTTGTTCTTTCATATAGAACATTATGCGAAGGCTTATTAGTATGTTACTCTTGTTATTTATTAAGCTACTCTATTCTGGTTGTTCGTTACGCAAGGTCGTTTAAGTTAATTTTTGACTCTAGAGAAGTTTCTATGCGTTTCAGGGTTTTACGATGATTATTGAGTTTGTTGCTAGTTGGCTAGACTATGCTAACCCGATACCTAACTCGAGTTCAACTCTGAGTAGCGACACTCTAGTCGCTCTTGCTACACTTTCCTTTATTCGTCATCGAGTTAGAGGGACGACTGTACGTCCACCATTCGCTGACATCCTCATAGTACAT